ACCCCCCGAACCAGCCCGGGTCGCTGGTCTCCCTCCAAGCGTGTGATCTCCCCCGCCGAAAAGGTTCGTCTCTACCTGAGGTCGGGGGTACATTTCGGCCCCTCCGGCTATCCTGAAACCCCTCCCCGCCCCTTAATTGCGTTGCTAATTGTTTTCATTCTGGAACGAAATCCAGTGAGCCATTAGCTGAAACCGAAAAGGAGCGCAGCCGGAGCGGGGAGGGCTGCGGGGCTTGTCCTACCGGAGGCGCTCCAAAGCCCACGCCTCCCCCCCTCCCGCTTTTGTCACTCATTCTCTCTGTAAGCAACGTCAAAGGAGGGAGTGCCTGTTCGGAGGCAGACTGAGGCTGTTCTGGGGAAATTCTTGGTCCTGGAAGATCCAGAGGTGGGACAAAGCGAGGGCTAGCTCGAGATTTTGGTCAGGCTGAGGCGCCGCGTTTTCCTGATCGATGTGGTGTTTGGGGTTTTGCTCCATGGTGCCTCCAAAATATTCCTTCGCCCCCGTTTTAGAGATGGGGAAACCAAGGTTGAGGAAAGTGTTCAGGACTACCCAGTGGGAAGGGATTTGGACCGTTGTCCTCTTTAAAGCGCAACTCCCCTTTCCCTAAAAGGAGGCAGGAAACGATCCAGCGATGCCCGTAAAGCAAGCTTGGCTGTGAGATTTCCCGCGGACTGCGGCAGCCCCACCAGCGGACACTGATTAAAGTATGAGGGGGTTTGAGAGAAGGCCAAAGGGACCTTAAGCATCTTGCCCCCTCCAGCTGCCTAGTTTCAGCGGCCCAGGAGTTGTTTACCGATCCGAATAGTGAGGGCAAAGCACTCCACACATGCTCAGAGACCCTATTTGTGCTCAGAGAGAAGGTTGGCAAAGTGGGAGGTCGGTGGAAAGTGAGGATTGGGCTCGCTGCTGGATTGAGCTAACTTGTATTTCATTTTCTCTCCCTCTCTCCCCTCGTAGAGGCTGGTCTTGACGGAGCCGCGGCAGCCAAGCGGCGAGAGGTTTGCTGAGCGCCGCAGGGCTGGATGGCCCTGGCCGAGGGCGGTTGGTGCCTGCTGAAGCGCTGCGGTCCCGACGACTCGCCCTGTCCGGTGGCACCCCGGGAGGTGCCGGGCCCTTCGCCGCCCCCGCCCGCGTCAGCGGGTGCCTCGCCCGGGGGGGGCGGGGGCCCGTCCAGCGTCAGGAGCTTCAAGCAGGAGCCCGGAGGCGCTCTCTC